GCTTTTTTTAGATCAATAAATACTGCTCCTGTATATTTTCCCTGATCAACAGCGTTCATCCATCTATCTGTAATTTTAACCAAAGACGTTATTGTTGAGTGTTTACTCCTAAAGCCAAATTGTTCTGCTGATAAAAGTTTGTTTTCTTCTAAAAAAGAAACTAATTGCCGCTGAACAAATCTTTCCAGCAATTTTGATACCGTAGGTAGTATTGAGATAGGACGAAAGTTATTTGGGGAATTTTTGTTGCCAGATTTATGGATGGGAATGACTTTTGACCTCTTCCATTGATTTGGAAACTTATACTCGAGGAATGATCTATTAATTATGTGAGTAAGATATGGAACAATAATAGGAGCACACATTTTCAAAATTTTGGAAGAAATCCCATCTAAGCCCACAGAAGTATTATCTTTCAATTTCATTAGTTCTTTTCGAACATCATTTTCAGTGACTAAATGAAACGTAAACTTAGCATCATTCTTAACACGAACTTCATCATCATTTATTGAATGTGGAGGATCATGAAAATTAGAGGCTAACTCTGCACCGATAGAAGAAAAAAATAGATTAAACTCATTAGCTCTCATATGAGAATCATTTACATGGGCTTCAGTACTATTAGTACGAGATGTTGGCAAAACAGTCTTCAAAACCTTCCAGACCTCAGTAGATCTCCCCATAGCAGAGGACAGTTTATTAACATTACATTGTCTTTTAGTTTTTCTTATTGCAAAAGTTACTTTATTTCTTAACTTACGATAACAATTCATAGCATCGTTATTTTTGCTTTTCCGTACTTTTCTTTTGGCTTTATCACGTTTCTTTATCAAATTCATGATTTCAGAAGTCATCCATGGAGAAATTTTATTTTTGATTCTTCTGGATTTAGAGGGCATAATAGTATTGACAACTTCCATCAAGTAATTCTCCCACAACTGAACTGCTTCATCAATATCTTGAGCTAAGTAAACATTCTCCCAGGGTTGATTATCAAGCTGCTCACAAAAATTTACAATATCAATACCTTTCACTTTTCTATACGTTATAGTACGAGGAACATGGTGAGTACAAGGTAGTCCCCAAACAACATAATTCAGTGAATGGTCACTTAATCCAATATTGATAACACCAGATAACTTAACTTGATCAATCCTGTTAGTAACCATCAAATCTATTAGGCTAGATGAGGTATCAGTAACACGGGTGCTAGTTGTGACATTTATGTTCTCAAGAGAATAAATTTCATGTATTTGCATCAATCTCTTAGTTTCACTATGTAAAGGGGTCTTTAGAATATCACAATTAAAATCGCCCATAATGACCGTACTATGATAAAAACTGTCCATAAAAGACAACAACGATTCATAATGACAACAAAGCTCAGAGTAACTATTGGGAGGACGATACCAAGTAATAAAGACATAGGGGTGAGAAAATTTATTTCGAACGAGGATTGCTATAGCTTCCAAATTATGTAAAGATTCATGATTTAAAACTTCAAAATCAATGCTATCATGTATATAAACAGCGACACCCCCACCGTGCCGATTTCTGTCTTTACGAACGATTTTGTAATTATCAATATCTATTTCACTGTTCATAATGGAATCGTCCAACCAAGTTTCATTGAAAGCTGCAATATCAATTGGATATTTGTTGAATAATATTCTTAATTCATCAACATTTCGCAATAAACTTCTAACATTTAATTGTACCATTTTCGTACCCTTTGTAAATAACTCTTTGAGCTTAGCTGGAACTAGATTATCATGATTATTATGAAGGCAATCACTAACTACTGGGTTTGACTGAACATCAGACAATACGGAATGAATATTACTATCTTTTTCTCCACAGCTATCTTGAGATTGAAAATTAAAAGGCAATTCAGAAAAAATACACTTACTACTAATCCAGTCTTGACTAGAATTGAACAAATCCAGACCTAAACAAGAACATGAAAGATGAATCCAACTATTACAAACTACACATTTTACAGCATTCTGATTATTTCTGACTGTTTTTGCACAAGAAAGACAAGGATATCTTAGAGGCATAAAAAATCAGTTTCATTGAGTTTTCAAACCAACGAAATAAGCTTACAGTTTGGAGTCAATATCAGCGAGGCTTGTGATGGAGATCTTCTTGCCGTTCGCATTGACAGCCGTGATCCTGCCGTCAAGCGTCCAGACTTTCTTGACATTCTCATGGAAGCGGAGTTTGTTGACGATGGCTTGTCTGTTCACGGTGAGGTCTTCATGGATGAAAATATCAGTGCCCCGAAATTTAGATCGAGCTGAGTAGATCTCATGACGCGTGTTGTATCGGGTGAACTTTATGATGATCGGTCGTGGTTTCTGTGATCCACTGCTCCTAACTCTCGGCGTGATTCGATGGCTACGATCGATGTGCCCAGGATCAAGATTGATTCCAAGATTACGACGAACAACATCGATGACCAGCTGATCAGTGTTTTCGCTCTTTCCTTCCGCGATACCATGGAAACGAAGACATTGTCTACGCGAGTACTGCTCTTGGTCTTCACACGAACGCTGAATTTGCTTCATCTGTCTTGAAAGGTCTTTGACCGTTGATTGAAGAGTCGCGATTTCTTCCCTGTATTTGTGAAGATCCAATTGTATGGACTCGTAAACCTGTTTGGTCACTTCTTCTTTCACTGCGTCGATGATCGCTTCGATTAGACGTGAATGCGTTTCTTCGCTAATCGCTTTGTCCACTTGAGTCCGAACGGTATTTATCAATTGGGGGTCATTCATTATGTCCTCGGTTGAGTGACCACCTGAACTGGCGGGAGAGTTATAGGCGGAGTCTCTCGGCCGAGCTCCCGGTGAATGTTTGGGCAGATCCCGTGCTCCAGGCTCCTTCTTTGACGGTGGCTCAATGGCTTCAAAGTTCTCCTTCTCATTTCGAGTTTGAGAGCGCATTTTCATTTTTGGAGTAGTTGGAACGCTCATTGTAGTTCGCAATCACAATCGGTTCTCAGCAAATTTGTTGAAATATTTCCAAAGTAGTTTTCTAAACACTTTAATCAAGCTAAAACGAGTACATCCAGTTTGCGTTTGCATGCGTTACTTTTGATCTCATTTACTTCGTATAATATTATGTATGTATTATGAAAATCAGATAGCAAAATGTGTATAGCAAAATCGATGGTCATCTTGCGAGTAATAACCATTAACTACTCTTATCGGGCTCTCAACATTTATTTTTCTCTTCATTTTTGTTGTTTTGATGGTGAATTATTGGGGGGGGGATATATCCCCCCATTCCCCCCGGGATCTACACCGATGCTCATTTTTACTTGTACCTTATAATACTTTGGCACAAATTCGCACAAGCCGTCCACCGTCGGCAGCAGAACCCTAGTCTAGATGCTGAACAGGCTTTGACAAGTAGCAGAATAGAAGTAGAAGTAGAAGTATAGATACAGGCAAGATATTAAATGAGAAAAAAGAATAAGGAGAAAGACAATTTTCCCTCGAATGTACGCCTCACAGCACTGCGGAAGTACCAAAGAATTCAAAATATAAGTCTCTAAAAACCCAAAAGAACACTTTTTTACGTGAAATTCAATCAGTGAAAAAGATCTTTACCTCCAAAGGTCAAAGGAAATTGAGCTTCGGTTTTCTTTTTTAATGGAGGTCTCCCCTCTCCTCCTCCCTCCCTCTCTCTCTATCTCTCTACCCCTCTCTTTATCTATTCTATATTTTCATTTCTTCTAGTAAATATGCTATTAGTTACTGATTAAATGGTTTTATTGATCACATGTCATCTTGGTAAAAAGAAGAGACGACATACTCAAGGGAACATCTTTCTCATCAGTAAATGAAACTTTAGAAATTCGCAGAGGTCGTATTTCAATAGAGAAAAAAATAATCAGTAAAGGTTCATCATTTTTTTTAATGAACCTACTCTCTCATCGTCTAGATGTTTAATTCTTCTATCATGTCTAACAGGGGCGGATCCAAGATTTTGCACCAAAAAAAAGGGGAGCGTGAAATATACGAAATTGCGAGCGCAAAGCCATTACGGCGTGGGGTCCGTAGCCGGCTTAAGGGTTCCGGAAAACTTTGAGCCTTAAAACATGCTCTATGGAACATTCTCTATGAAGCATTTCTTCCAAAAATCAATAGCGAAGTTTGAGCAATTCTATCCCCCCCCCCCCTGTATGCACTGTATGCTATCCGCGCTCGTTACCCGGGGCAACGGGCTTCTTAAAAAAACAAACTATTGCCCGGTAGGCGGGCATGCGGGCATCTTTTAAAAACTATTGACCGGTAGGCGAGCATGGCTAAAATCACGACTCCGATTTTGACCAATCAGATGACTAGATTTATTCAATATACTAAAGAGAGGTATATAATTTATTGTGTTTTGTGAAAAGATGTCGCTTAGGACAATAATTTAGTGTTTTCCCCTTAACCACAACACTCTTCATTCCTTTTGGAGTCCATAGTACAATTCCCTGAGGTAGTCATTACAACTGTTCTCTATTTTATGTTTTCTTTAATGGATTTTCTTGCAATATGTGCCACGATGGTTTTGTTGAGCGAACAAAATTTAAATGAGATGAGAAAAACGGTATTGTCACCTCTAAAAGAACATTGAATCGGTAATCAAAATAAAACTTCTCCCTGTCAATTTCATATGAACACGCGAATGTGTTTCAAGGACTAAAACATAATACGTAGGTTGAGTTCGTTTAATATGTCGCTGTCGATAACATCTTTTTTTAGAGACTGCACTGGATATTACGGCCTTTGAAAAGAGATTGTAGAATTTGAATAAGAAGTGATTGCCAATTTCATTTCTGTAACTTGCTATTACCATTTAACCTTCCGCAGCTTATTAATTTCACGTCTCACTTCTGATTGGTTGAGAAAAATAGAATCTAAATATGACTGTATATAACCTTCTGCTTTTCGTTAATAGAAGTAGTTAGTATATACAAATCTGTGTGAGGTGCAACATTGATCATGGCCGATATTTCTAACAGCACGCAGACCTACTCAACAGAGATGTCTTGGACTGATATCCAGGATGCAAGTGAATACATGAATGTCACTACTCAATCTTTGGATCCATTTGGAACAACTCAACCTAATCTGAGGAATCTCATCTTTCCCGCTGTCTTTTTCGCGCTCATTGTACTTGCCAACATCATCAGTCTTGGCGCATTCCTAGTAGAAAAACGGCTCCGTACCTACAATAATTACTTCATCATAAACCTCACCATACTGGATCTGCTGGTTGGAATTGGAATGGGAGCTGTCGTGGAGTACTCGTACATTAAACGGTACCCGTTTTCTCAAAATGCCTGTAAGGTCATAACTGGGATCTTCAGCGGAATCGTCAATGCTTCTAACATCAACGTGGTTGTGATATGTGCCGATCGACATCAAGCGGTCTATGATCCCATCAACCATTATATCTCCCGATCAAAGCGCAAGGCAATCATCATCAACTCTCTGCCATGGGTGATTGGACTCTCGTTCTGGATAGGGTACGTCACAGTGTGGGAGTTCGTCATCGATCACGACAACGGTGTCAACTGTACTCAGCGGTTCCTTCTCAGTCCGTTGACGAATATGATCCAAAGTGCTGCCATGTTCTTCTTGCCTTTGGCCATCATCGCCGTTCTCTATGTCAGAATCTTGATCAAGATTCGCAAATCGGTTGGAAGACGGAACAACAAGAAGTCGACTGATTTGAAGAACCTCCACCTTTCCGCCGTTAAGGATACCGAGATAACGAGCGCAAGCGTTACGTCGACATCACATACAGGTTCATGTAGTGACATTACTGTGAAAGGGAGCAAAGAAGATACTTTGGTATCATCATCTTCATCACGTAATGAGACCAACATCGGAAAGAGTGACCAAGAAAGATCGGTTCGTAATCTACAGAATTGTTAGACTTTAGTAACTTTGTCCGTCGCCTATTCCAACATGAGAATATGATAAAAACTGTTAAAGTACAATTCTGAACATGATTTCTGTATAACTGAAAACATTTCTGCAATAGTTTTGCCAGGAGAGATTAGACCTCCCAGCTGGGTAACTGACGGGTGGTTAACTCATCAAATCTGCTCTTAATTAACATAAGAAAAAAGGGATCATGGGGGATCAACGGGTACCGCTTAGGCTTCTTTTTTTTTTATAGAGGGCGAAGGTGGCTACAAATAGTGCAGTCCCGCTTTAAGTTGTCTTTGCGATCATGTTTAAATAACAGCATTTCTAAGCCCATCTTTGGAATCAAATATATAAAAAGGTTAGCAGCCTTAGCGATTACACCGAACGATAGGCTCTTTGCTGACAGAATTTTCTCACAAAATCTCTCAATATCAGTCATTGAGGGGGAATTTCCCTCGCTCTCCCATGTGAATATGAAAGTAATATGCAGTTGGCTCTTTTAAAAGTTTGAATAGATTCCATTGCAAGATCAAATATCACTCTAAATGCATGAATTTGTTTTATAGCATGTATATTTTATATCAAAATCTATGGTGGTCATGATTTTCTCTCTTTCTCTTTCTTTCTTTTTCTCTCTTTCTTGGTTCCGGTCTGTTTCATCTTCTAACAACTCAGACATCAACGTCACATCGCGTGGAATCGACGGCTGACATGACGAAGGCGACTCGTGCTCTCCTCTTCATCGTCATCGCTTTCGTACTGACATGGATTCCGATTAGCGTAATCACTTTAATCTACAGTATCGACCGTCGACTCATCGTGCCTGGTCTGTCACTTGAAGCTTTCGCCTTTTTCGGCAATCTGCAGTACGGGAATAGCCTCCTAAACCCTATATCCTACGCCATGTCGCAGCCTCTGTTCCGTGCCACCATCATCAAAATGTTCTCCTGTAAACGACCGTCGCGGGCCAACTAGCCTGGATAATTCACCTATTTCGTACATTTTGTACATTACAACGTACTCATAGTATGTAGTGCAATATTTAGCGTATCCGGCACAGAATGATCCCTCCATATTTTTGTTAACGCTACTCTGAGTCTTCAATGTTTGACTGTGATTATAGGCACCCTATAGTTCTCACACCCGCTTCCTGCATGTGGGTAGTACTTTACGTTGTGATTACATAAATCTCACTCTCGTGCCATTGTCGCGATGTACTCATTGGTAAAGCCACCATCACACCAAACTAGTTCTCACTACGTTCTCGAAAATGTTGCCAAACGGGCTCAAACTGTGTGCGAACGGAGTTGAACGTAATAGCAACTGTTTGCGACTTTATGGACGGGCTCGGAATGGACTAATGTCTCTAATACGATCTTGGTTCGTTCATTAACAGTCCACAATACGTCTAACTCGTTTGTACCCGTCCACAGTCAGTTCATATCAAGTTCAGATCGGATAAATTTGATATTTCCAAGCAGTCCAAACCATTTTTACTAGTTCGTAACTTGTTCTAACCAGTTTATAATCCAACCACCTCGTTCAGAGACAGTTCAACTCGTCTTCATCTTGTTCTTAGTGCGTTCGAACGCGCTTCTATCGTGCTTTGCAACCCCGTCCTGGTTCGAGGGCTATACAAACCCAGCGCGTTCTTCCTCATTGATGCTCGACCACATCACGTGGTAACACGTTCTTAGTAGGATCGAAGTACGGCAATTCCGCTCGTAGTACGTCCGTCTCGTTTTAAGTACGTTGTCACTCCGTCCAATTGCAGGACGGGGAGAATTTTGAACAGCTCAAAGTTCTAGACCACCCTTCCCGTCCAAGCCAGTCCGAGCCCGTCCATGAAGTCCTCACAAAGATCGTAAATAGTTGCTTATACGTTCACTCCGTTCACACACAGTTTGAGCCCGTTTGGCAACATTTTCCGGAACGTAGTGAGAACTAGTTTGGTGTGATAGGTGCTTGACTTGAACGTCTTGATCTGCAAAGCCTAAAGCGTTGAAGTTGAACGGGAAAGAGGAATGGTGAGAACGAATTTGTTTATAACTACCGAGTCAGGACGGGATTGCACAGGCTTAAGGAGCGCATTCGAACGCACTCAGAACGAGATGAGAAAGAGTTGAACTGTCCTGAACGGGGTGGTCGGGTTAAAAACTAGTTAGAACAAGTGGCGAACTAGTTAGAACGGGTTTGGACGTATTGGGAACGAAGTAGAACTTGTTAATAATGGGTTTAAACTGACTACGGACTGGCTTGGACTGCCTAATCTACCCGTTCTGAACTTAATATGAACTGGCTGTGGACGGGGAACAAACGAGATGGACGTATTGAGGACTGTTTACGAACGAACTAGGATCGTATTATAGTAAGGATATATTGACTGCTTTGAGAGGCATAGTGGTTTCTATAGGGTCAAGGGAAACTCACAACCTGCTATGACCCCAAGGCGCTTGCGCCGCGGGGTCATAGCAGGTTGTGAGTTTCCCGAGACCCTATAGAAACAACTATGCCTCGAATATTAAAAGCAGTCAATATATATTTTATATACCGAAAAAAAGGAAAATGTTGACTCACCCATTTAGGTTTCCATCTCATCGCACAAAAGAAACTTATACGGTAACACGTAAACCAAAATGGGGATCGCAGCAAAATGACGTCACGTTTCACAGCCATGGAAAAAGTGCTGTGAAAAATGGATATAAACCGGTAGAGCCGGGAAAAATGACTATGAATTTCAATTAGCGGGCATGGTTGGGGATCGCAGCAAAATGACGTCACGTTTCACAGCCATGGAAAAAGTGCTATGAAAAATGGATATAAACCGGTAGAGCCGGGAAAAATGACTATGAATTTCAATTAGCGGGCATGGTTAAGAACATGACTGCATTTTCAACCAATCAGAAGACAGGATTAGTAAAGAATCTTAAAATGAGGTATATAAACATTTTTATGGTACACATTCTGCCCCGACCACAACCCGTTTTACGATTTTCTAGGACGGTTCCAGAACGTAGTGAGAACTAGTTTGGTGTGATGGGGGCTTAAGGACGAGTTTTTTTTTGTATAGATTGTACATTTATGAAACGTATCTTTTAAACATAAGACATTTAAAATGTTCATATTCAGATTTATCTTAATGGTGTCAAAATGTATCGAATTTTATCCGCGATTAAGATTAGATGTTTGAGTTAAGTCGCGTTATGATGATATATAAATGCGTTCATAACTTAGCACCCTCTTATACCTTCAGGGAGGCTTAATCAATCCCAATGATGTACATGAGCAACATACAGTGGATGTTTACGTGTGCCCAGACTTCACACTGATTGTTATAAGCGTAGCCCAATTGTTTCTTCTATATTTGAATGGAATTAGCTAAAAAAAAAATCGATGAGAACGGCTTCCTCTATCAATTCATTTAAGAGATTATTTAAACAAAGTTGGGATTTGTGAATAGCTCAGCCGAACATACACTACGTGCATGTTCTGTAATATTAAAATGATTTATTCACATAATTGCGACTAATTAAATATTTTTCTATTGGCATTACTGTTGAACTAGGTTAATGATATATGATTATTTTTAAACGAGTATTTGTTTGTGCCACGTATAATTGCTCTGCTATATCTTTCTAAATGTACTATGAAATTTTATTTTAACTGTTCTGTATAAACGTTATGCTTTTTGATTTAAATATGTTTATTTAGGGCCCCATGGGAGACCACTACTTATTGGTGAGTGGGCTACCCTGACAAGAGATTCGAAATAAATAAATAAATAAAAATATTGTTCTTAAGTGTATCAATACTATTTTGGTGGTAGTTAATTTATTACGTATATAAACCTCACTTTCATGCCATTGTCGCGATGTACTCATAGGTAAAATAAAGGACGAGTTTTTTTGTATAGATTTAGTTTTGTGAAACGTATCTTTTAAACTGAAGACATTTAAGATGTTCCTGTTCAGATTCATCTTAACGAGGTCAAAATGTATCGATTTTTATCCGCGATTAATATTAGATTAGATTGTTCTTAAGTGTATAATCATTATTTTGGTGGTAGTTATTTTAGAAAAGCGCTACTACAATTTGTGAACTAGTCAATATGTAAAAGATCGTGGATATTTGATTCATTCATGACAAACGCTAGTTTACGATTTGGTGTATAGAATCCTGAATTTTCATGTCTAAATTGCTCTTGTATTAAATCTTTTGTTACACCGTTAGCTGCTCCGATTATGCACATTATTATAAACGCTTTGCTTGTCTTTACCTTTTATTCTATAACAACGTACCCTAGTATAGATTTTTAGTGCGTATGATACGAATTGTTGGCCTGTACTTTTATGGAAATAAAAAATGTAGAAATTATATTAAAATCATGATTACTGTTGTAAGCCAAGTTAATGTTGATCAACATTATGATGATAAATGATAATGCAGTTTGTGATGATGATGATGATGATGATAATGATAATGATAATGATGATGATGTTGATTACGATCATGATGTTGAGTAGGAATGTGACATTGATTGTGATTATGATTAGTTTACAGTGATCGTCATGAACGGAAATGACGACAATAATTTTGAAAAAGACTTTTGAGAAGATTTTGTTGATAACAATGAAAATACAGACGATTTATATACAGTCAGAGATAAGAGCGCCGAAGATGTAACCGATGATAATACGGATGCTACAAACGACATTTCAATTTCATTTTTAATTCAAGATTATTTCTGTTTCCAACAAAGTATTACAGATCAATTATAATCATTTACAAAAATTAAGGAATACACATTGGAAAAAGCAATGCTTGTACAATTGTGGACCCCTCAAATAATAGTTAGCAATAATAGAGTAATTAAATTGACGTAACTACAAAAAGGAAATAGAATCAGGAAGAAAAAAAAAGGGGCTGCCAACATAGACAAAAACGGGACAAGAGAGCTCTTAATGACAAAGATAGGAGAACACGGTCACAATACAAAAAGTAGA